TCATTCCATGTGACCGAGAGCTTACCGTGACAACACTGTGACACGACAGTACCGGAGCAAAACACAGATGACAGTTTTCGGCTTAAACACTATGGCAACAGAGGTCGATTGATGAACAACGGTAACCGAAAGTCAGGAGACCGCCTCATCGCTTTCAGAAAACTCTGCATAAAGGATTCTTGATCCGGTTTGTCTGCATTGTGGATAAAACAAGCGGACAAATCGATGCTCCTCCAATCTTCTCTGTTCTTGGTCCTCTACCTCAACCGTTCGCCAAGTAATTTAATCATAAGTACCAAAACTAATGACGAAGCGAGCATGTGATCAGGAGGTCAGATGAAATACACGCACAGGGAACCGCGTTAGCAAAGCCAAGTGACGAACGGCCAAGGAGAAAATCGAACACTAAACCGCTTGATTAATTTGATACCTCGTCTTTGCCTCATCGTGAAATCCTGTCTTTCGAGCTTGCCGACTGGCGGATGACCAGAACCATTGGTAAAATATCGTGAAGTTGTTGCCTCTACGAATCGCTAACTGCATGGAATAGGTGGCTATCAGGACAGATGGATGGAAGGAAGGAGTGCTAGATGGTTGAATGAAGTAGTGAAGCAATGAAGAAATTGACAAACGAACAATTTGAATGGATCAACGAGTGGACAGGCAGCCAAAAGGGAGAAAAACCGCCAGGAAGTTTTCCATTTTCCATCACACCTTCATTAGATGCATTAAGGCGTCATATAGGAAAATCGTTTAACATACTGATTTAAGCGGTCATTACGGTAGAAAGCTAACTTGGTTTCAGTTCAACAACAACATCTGATCAATGACTGACCGTTTATCATTCTTTCAAACGGCAAAGAGCAAAAATCGCAGCATGAATATTAAACGCCCTCTATGTAACTCCTTAATATGTTCAGCTTTAATTCATTCAGGTGTAAAGTCACAATAACAGACTGTGATTAGCGAAGATTTTTATGTACTAATAACTTTAAAGTTTTTTTTAAAAGCTAGCTACTTGCGATAGGCAAAAACGGCGTTATTATCCGTAACTGTAACTAATGGAATTTTTTATTGTATGCTGCTATTGGTACATTTTCACGAGCTTCAACAAATCAAGGGTCTGGAATGCATCAGTTCATCACAGTTGCTAGTGAGCGCCAAGCAAGAACTTGAAATAGTGAGTGTATATTATTCAAATAAAACGGAGCTATGTCAAATTATCAGGTCAAGTCAATATAAAGGTTATTTTGAATGATAACAGCGTATAATTATTTAACAAGGCTCTGTGGTTTGTCGAAGATATCGGTTAAATGACGCCTCGAAGGTTGTTTATATAATGTACGTTACGACCGACATAAAAAACATATTAGAGTGGTAGAGCTATTTTTCATGGATATGGAGGCTGGATCCACGAGACAGAGAAAACACGTACTTAAACTTCTTTTAAGTGGAATTTTCATTGAGCTTCGTTCATGGATTCGTTATTATAATTATTGGTAATGTGTGAATGGGGTAACTATATTACAAAAGTATCAGAAGAGCGCGACATATCCTTTACAACTGTGGCAACGTATCGGGGCTGCAGACTTACAACTAACCGGCCCAGTGTATTGTCAGTCAGAAGTTTTCGTGTGCAATAATAAATCAAGCCTACATATGATTAGGCATTAAGCATTAACAACGAAAGAAAAAGCTACGTGAAAGTAAGGTGAATTAAGTTAGTCACCCTTACAAGACAGATGTCCTGCGTTGAACCTCGTCGGCTGTAAATACGGACGACTGTTTTTCCAGGAACTTAAACATAACGTCGGTAAGGGTGTAAAAAGCGCGGATGAGTCATCAAAGCCGGGTGAGTTGCAATTAGCGCGTGTACGACGAAGGAGGGCGGCAAGGAAAAAGAGGAGTACGGTCCGCGCGATGCCATCACAACGTGTCTGCAGCTCGAGCTGTCAAAAAGACAGCGACCCGGACGACGAGGACGAAGACGCGGAGGGCGGCAAACAATGAAACATTAGGCTGGTTTATAAATGGACTGGTGTTGCACCATCTCTGCTGATCATTGCTGTCACGCGAGAGCGCTCCTCCAACCTGGCTCGCAATTAATTACAGGCCGACCATCCGCCATCGACTGCGCGATGGCGGTGCAGCGACGGAATGGGAGCCTTCGTAGAGAGCATCTCCGTTGCTGCCAACTGCCGTTGCGCGTTTGCCTCTTCGGAACCTCACCGGTTTTTTCTGTTCTGCTGCATACAGAGGTCCACTTGTTGAAAGACAGTACTCCTCCGAACAAGGGGACGAAGAACACCATGCCTCACTCGTTGATTTGTCATCAATGCTGCTCCTCTCACCAACCTCAACTTGGTCGGGTACCACGCGAGGATCAAGTGCGGAAAGCCGCCGATGCCGGTTACGGTTGCTGACCTACGCGCAGCGGCGGTTCGTAATTTGATTTTCAGTCGACTGGATATCGTCGTTTTCTACCCTCGGACAACAGTTTTCCTCGGCGTCATCGTGACTCAGCATTTGATCACATTATCGGCGCTACGTGCCGGCGGAATACAATGACTCTGAGGTAATGCTTTGTTGAAACTCATTAACTCAACCCTGACTTCGCGAAGATCCACCCGTGACAAGTTTCGGTCTGCAACTCGATCTTCTATTTTTCCAACAGCATCGGAAAGTACGTGACTGAAACTGAATTGAATCTACACCCAATGGTTGTCGTTTTGGCATCTTCGCCACCTGCTGTTTAAGTATAGCGATATCCGCTTATCTAAACAGGCACATATCCGGAGTAGACGTGGGAAAGGAACGAATTTCTGTGAAACGTAAATATGTT